TGCACGTGTCTGAGCTAGGAAAAATAGATGGGACGTACAGGGAGATGTTTGAGGCATGCAATCGAGAGGAAGGGACGGTAGCTGTACTGGGGCATACGAGGTGGGTTGAAATGGCGGGAAGGGATATCGTTAGGATAGACAGACCAGGGAAGACATTTTTGAGCCCCCTTTGGCAAAATAGAAAGGAACGATTGGCCATCGGTGATCGGTCCTGTGGGAACAATGCTCCGTCCTCTCGAGGACGCGTGGTCAATGGTCTAACCGCTAAGGCATGCAAAACATAAGAGTACCCCTCCCCCCCGCCAACCCTTAGGAAGATGCAGCGCACCCTCTGTACGCACGCCGAATACCTCACAGCGCTTCGCGCTTGGTGATGTGGTAGCCTGGTCCGACGGCGAAAACCCGGCGTGCTCCGCCCCGGCTTTGTAGGGAGTCGAGGTCAATGATCTAACGTCTACGGCCTGCACGGCTATGAGTACACCCCCAACCCTTCCTAGACGCTGTAAGGCCGCCGCTAGCATGGTCCGAAACAACGGCGGCGAGACGTGCCCCCCCCACCGGTGCTGCCTTCTCTCCTTGCCTGAACGTGCGATGGGTCAGGTTACTACACGTGTGGATACTACACCTTCGACTGCGAGGACCCGTCCGTTTCCACGGACTGTTCAACAACATCCACGCTCGATTCAGACGACTGGTACGGTGGATATGGATATTACACCGACGACATTTGGGACAGCGGTGACGACTTCTACGGCACCTACGACGTTTACAACTACGGCAGCACGGCGTGCATATCCTCCTATACCGGTGATGGCTGGTGCGACTCATTTTACAACCACGCCGACTGCGAATGGGACGGGGGTGAGTCGTGGTCGTCAGATGCGTGCTTGCTTGCTTGGGTGGTCAGCCCCGCGAGGGTCGGGGGGGGGGGGCTGCGATGCCGCGTGTACATCGGCCGTCTTGTCTTGTAAAAGACTATGATGATTTTCCTCACGTGTGTTTTGTGTTTTTTAGTTGTTGGCATCGGCCGTGCTAACCGGCTGGCCAATGAAAAGAAGTCACTGTCAGCAGGTACAATCAAGGTCCCTGGTTGTTGTTGTCTTCACATTAAAAACCATCCCGGTCTCTCTATCCAGTACCTGTGGAACGGGGCTAAGATCCGAAAAATGCGCAATGCGCTAGATGCAAATGACATTATGACCCTCTCTACATATTTTTTCACAGACACACATCACAGCACTACACAAGCCCTCGCCTAACCCTAGGAAGCCACTGGTGCAACGAGAAGAGGGCAGCAAAAGGGGGAATTCAAGCCCAGAATTAAAAAAATGCGCAATGCGCTAAATGCGAATACCAATATGACCCTCTTTCATAGAGACAAACATCACAGCACCACACAAGCCCTCGCCCGAACCTAGGGAGCCACCGATGCAAAGAGCGGAGGGCAGCAAAAGGGGTAATTCAAACCCAGCCGAAGCCAGGATACCGTGGTATGTTGCATCTCCCAATTTAAATTTGTGCACTCCCAAGATGCAATAGTAATCGTTTCAGCAGCTACATGACTCAAAACAATATAGCAACGCATTTTGTTCACAGCTGCACACACGCCCTCGCCCGAACGTAGGCATCCACTGATGCAAAGAGCGGAGGACTACAATAGGGTTGCGTCTGTGAACGTGTTTATCTCCACACTATTTGGCGCCCAACCGCGCGCCAATAATCGTGCAAGGTGGTCGGTCTCTCCGTCTATACTGCTATATTCGTTTGCCAGGGCGTTCCGGCGCCGCCAGCGACTTGGTGTCCGCACGCAAAAAATCACGATATGCCCGGTGCCAAGACTTTGCCCAGTCTAACCGGCCGCCGCGCCTCGGTACAACCAGACGCGTTGTTACCCATGTTCTTCTTGCGGGAATTTTACTGCGCCGTCGCCATTCTGCGATCCTTCAACGTTGCCCACGCCGCAACTTCGTGGCCCCCTCCACGCGATCGAAGACAGCAGTGGCGGCTATCGGCCATTCCATGAGAGGGTTGGACGAGCTGAACCAGTGATCGTATGGCCGACTTTGACGATAGTGTGTAAATAGTACGAGGCTGGCAACAAGGCGGTTTTGCACTCTGTTACGTCCGTTCTGTCTCTAGTTACTTCGATTTTCTGACGTCGTAGCCATCACTGTACCACAATGCCCAAATTTGCTTCCGAGCCGACCTGTTTTCTTTTTCTTCTTCCGCCGCCGGGTGTCTCCTGGCGTCCGTCCCGTTCCCGCTACGCAACCCTGCCTGCCTGCCAGGTGACTGTTGCGAGTGCGACTGCGTGGACGCGACTTACGATTGCGGAGTTGTCGGCTACGACTGCCTGGACCCGACATCGTCTTGCAGCGACTCCCCCGGCACGCCGAGCCCGACCTTGCTCGACTCCGAAGCGAGGGATGCCGAGTCCACGTCGACGTCGACGTCGTCCTCGTCCGTCGCCACTTGGCAGATCGTGGTTGGGTTTTCGGGGGTCATGCTTGCGTTCTGCTGCTTCAGCGGGATTGTGTACTTCGCATGTCTGAGGTGCCGAAGAAAGCTGGGGGATGCGGAGGACGAGCAAGGTTCCGGCGGCGGCGTTGGCGGTGCTGCTGCTGCTGCTGCTACCCCTGTTGCCAAGTGAGAGGGCGCTTGGCACCGCCACGTCTTTCGCATGCTGGCTCGGGGGGGGGAGCGTGTTTGGTGGAGAGACAAAAGAAAAGAAGGCGCGCGCCGGCGCAGAGGGTTAGACCCGGGGGGGCGGGCGCGCGCGCTTTTTTTTTTTCACGTTTACACTGCCTTCGGCAAAATCGTGAATTAACAATGCATAGCTACCTCCTCTTTAGTCGTTCAACTAGCAACGACTTTCGTCAGGTCAGAACCTGAAATCGGGGCGTACGTACAGCGGTGATTCATGTCGTGAATATGTTAGGGGATCCGCCCCATTTTGTCCTTATCTTTCGTTGCCGTTCGTCTCCTTCCGTAGGTAGCAAGCACCCCCCCCTCTTCCCTCGACATGTTGGGCTTGACGCTGACACTTCACATATCTTTTGCTTCTAATTTCTGGTGGGCTTGGGTACGTTTGACACGCGGCTGGACCGTTTTTCATGTGTCAGCAGAGGCGAGAGAGCCTTGGCCGACGAGACCATGGAATACTCCGGCATTCCGTTGGGTTGTGGGGGATACACGCGTCAAGTGATTTTTTCGAATGACGCATTGAAGTATATTTCGCACCTGTGCCTTGATCGTGACCGACTCGTTTTTTGTGTATATGTCGTGGGAGAGAAGGACAGCAGTTCGAAGTCTATGCAAACCCCGAGGTAAACACAGGATAGAATCAAAACCACGTGTTTATTTTCTCGATTGGTGACCCTTAGTTTGCTTCTGTTTCTGTTTTGCTCTTTGGCCTCGTAGCTATTGCTATTAGTGGGAACGACGGGCCTTCCCTGCGCATAGATCTCCTCTCTCTCTGTCGATCTACGGTGTAGTATCTCTTGTCCGACATGTCATGTCACGTTCCAGTGTTGGTTGTTCGGTGACTTTTTTTCATTTGTCTTTTTTTTTTTTTTCGTCTTCACTTCAAATCAGCGCTCACAGCACTGGTGCCGTTTACTCCAACCCGTGGTCACACAGAAGAGCCCAACCTCTACCCTCCATTCCTGCGGTACTTTGCCTTTAATGCGAGAAGAGTTCAGCACTCTCTTCCCTCTGCGTACACACGAACTAGCGCTATCCACTAGGCCAGGAGCGGAAGCGAGAGAAAAACTCACTTTGCAAGAAAAGCTCGCTAACGCCGGGAGTCGAACCCCTGACCTGACCTCTAAAAGGTTTCGCGGTTACCAACTAGACCACCGGGGCGACCTGTAGCGCCTTGATCGCTATGCTGAGAGTTACGCTGTTTGTACAGGCATGTTTTTCCCTCATACATTGATTGGACTAGTACGGATATAATAAGAAGGTATCAGCGGAGACCGGAAAGATTTTTGTGAAGATAACAACAACAACAACAACAACAACGATGTAGGTCTTGTTAGCCTACGACCATTGCAGGCGTCAGCCGCATTCGATCCGGTACTACAAAGACGAAGTCACATCTAGACTGCGTGACAGCTATTGTTGTTGTGAGACTTGAGCACGAGGACCTGAACGGTGCTTGGAAAGGTACCTTAGGGTTGGCGAGAGCTACAACCCCGTTGTAGAAATGTGTAGCAGGGCACAAACCGTAGTAACTCCTCTGCTCCCTCTCTGCGCTCGTAATCAGTCTACCAAAGAGCGAAGCTGTCGTTCGGACCGGAGCCACACAACACTCACAGGCTGTGCGCAACAGCTGGATGTATGTGTATCCATTCATTGCGTGTTCTTTATCTCACAGCAGTCCATTTTTCCCCCGTCGACCGCACAATTGCAAGGTTTACTGCTTTGTTCAAGGAAATCGAATTCCAACCTACTGTTGTGATAGTGTAAGGATTATTTACGAGGTGAACCATCACACCACCGATTCGACCGGCTCATGTTTCTAAAGACGACCAAACCGCAATCCCAATTTTCCACGCTATGCGCTCCAGTATCGCAAGATGCAATGTTCATGGCAGTACTAATTCGGCTGTCGCTACAGACGTTCATTCGTGATGCGGAAATCGTTTAGCATCACAATTGGAAGAGGTAGGGGCGTGTTCGACACCAAAACGCTTCCCGTTGCATCAGAGTTGATTTCGCCTCAGCAAACCTACGCGTGTTGGCGTGCTTTGGTGCGGCATGCTGCACGTGTCTCACACTCCCACACCGCAGCAGCTGCCGAGCGTGGAAGTGCTACCGCCGGAACAGCGACGGGCCGACCGCCAGCTCAAGATCCGGCTCCTCCAGGCTGAAGTGGTGGAGACTCTCCTTATGGGTGCGCCTCGTGGAGACCAACAGCGGAGCACGACACGAAGCTCAATGGGACCCACCGCCAGTTCCTTACACGGTGCATCGGCTGGAGCAAGCGGAAACGCTCAGACCGCCCCGTCCTATGCCAAGGCCCTCATCCAGGCAGGCTGCGAGGAAAACCATCGAGGCCCCCGTGCGCAAACGGGGACTGTGTTTCGCGGGCTTTGTTATGCGCATGGAGGACAACCGCCTCCCCAAGCGCATGCTGTTAGGAGCGATGGCGGAGGGCGAGGGATACCGGGGCGGGCAGGAGAGGGACTGGGTGTCTCGTCTATCTAGGAGAGGACCTCGTGGTCTTGAACATGGGAGACGAAAAGGAAGGGGGGTAAATGGAAAGAGAGCGCCAAGGACCCGGAGGTGTGGTACAACAAGGTCGAGGACGGGGCGGCATTGCTCATGAGGAAATGGCACAGGCAGGAGGCGGAAGCGTTCGCGAAGCGCCAGCACGCGAGGGAAGCAGAAGCAGAGGGTACGGCCATCTCAGGACCGAAGAGAAAGAGAGTCGGGGAAGCAAGCGGCGTTGGGGGGGAAGAAACGGCGACCGGACACTGCTGTAGAAGCGAGTAGGGCGGCCAAGGCCGCACTTGTGGCGAACTATGTACCCGGCCGATGTTGTTGCGCCCTGTTTCACTCCCTGCTGTAGATATGCTATACTCCTTTGTGTATGTCCTTTGTATTGCCTTCGGCCTCTCTCTGTGCTGTGTTTCTATTTTTCATGTCCTCCCTGCCTACTCTGCTGTGTTGGGTACCTTGATCTCGCTTTTGTTGCTGTTTTTGTTTTTGTACATCCGGCTGTCTGCCCATCTGCCGCATCTTTGTCCTATTTGCTCCGTTACTCCCATGCCCTGGTGCGTAGTGCCTGGTGCTATGCATAGAACGTTACCCTTTGATTTTTTCTTTAGGCGGGTGTCGAAAGCGTCCCCCTTTATTTTATTTTTGTTTGTTTTATTTTGATCGGTTTCCGAGGGCTCTACTTCTGTGTTCTCGAACGGTCGGTGCGGTAGCTGCTCTTTTTTCCTATCATTTTGTTTTCTTTCTCCGAGTGGTTTGTACCCTTTTTTGTTTTGTTTCCCCGCGGCGTCGTGTGTGCCGGGTTTTGAGACCACGGGCTCCCCATTTTTTGTGGACTATGGAGCTAATGTGAGAAACAACAACAATTACAAACAACTGCTGTCGCAAAAAAAACACGCCGGGAGGGACTGTGAGAAATTCTGCACTGAGAATCGGCCCCTAACTGGGTTGTACCGCGCACGTTCACGGCATTTACGCCGCCTCTGTCCTCCTGCAGCCTGCAGCCTGCAACCAAACAACTTCTCGGAGGAAGGGTATGTGTCTTGCTCCCTCTCCCCATCTCGTGTCACGCTAGTGGCCAACCATGAAGGAGGGAGACCAGCGCCGAGTGGCGAGCCTTAGCGTGTATTCTCTGGCAGCAGCAGCAGCAGCAGCAACAACAGCATTGACGGCAGCAACAGCAGCAGCAGGAACCACGGGGGCGTTTTCGGCCCCTCCTCAACAGCGGCAGCAGCAGCACACCGGTAGCACCCCGACCGACCATGGCTTGTCGTCCTTCATCCCGCCGCCCTCGCCATGCACGACGGCTCCAACGAGCCGGCACACCTGCCCAGCAGCAGCCGTGGGGAGATCATCTTTGGGTAGTCCAACAGCAGTAGTCTCTGGTGTTGGTGGACGACCAATGTTCACTGCCGAGAGTGGGTGGGTCCGTCGGCGTGCCAGCGTGGTGCCGCGTGTTGCCGGCGGCGTACGCCAACAGCAGGGCGGGCTGCTAGCAAGAGGGGCAGGGGCTGCTGATGGACCTGCGACCGGTGTGTCCCAGCCTACCCAAGGCCGTGGTGGTGGTGGCAAGAAGGAGGAGACGTTGATGAGGCTGGATGAGCGCGACCTTAGGTGAGGGAACGTATGATGTATGTGTGTGCACATGATGATGTAACAAGCTGTAGTACTGATGGAACACGGGTAGCAGCCGCCTCTGTAAATATGGGCCGTCACTCTCTCAAAGCGCACACGGCTTTCTATAGCCATCGGGCTCTCCCGACAGAAAGGCCCGGTGAGGAGGGTGGAAAATAGAGAGGGTCCAGCCTCCGACTTCGCAGCACAAGGAGAAGACTCAGTGCCACCAAGTAGCAGTCCTGCTCCTGCTGTGGTGCAAACAAAAAACTCATGAAAAAATAAAACTACAGTAGTCAGTACCGCCGCGTTGTAGGGGTTCAACTGCAACCAAACCCATGGTTGTTTTTGGTGCGTATCGAACGCGCGTAGGCCCGGTGTGTGACGATGCAAGGCTCCCCCCTCAAGCTCCTCCCCTCACACTGTGGGCGGTCATGGCAAGGGCTTGCTGGGTGGGTCTTTGCATTCTGAAACGAGGGTGGTGTTATGCACAGCCGCGACGCTGATCACCTCAAGCTACTTTTTCACAGCTACAGTCGTGGTCCCGGTTTAGCGGTCCACTATGTAATACTATGTAATAGTGTCAAAAAATATTCTAGGACGTATTATGTAAAGTATACTCGCACTCAAGTATTTTTGGGACCGCCTCCGCAGGATTTCAGAATATCTAGAAAATAATAGGGAGGGGGCGGGCAGACCCTATTCCTGACCCTAACCCTAACCCTAAGGCACGGGTTGAATACTTTATCCCATATGCTTGCTAAATCAATTTTGCCGCGTAGACTACTCATGCTTGAGTAATGCTCAACCTTGAGTATTGCGCTTGAGAAAGTTTTTAATCAAGTCGTGTGTACTCAGCTACTCGAGTGTTTTACTCAGCCACGAGTTTCCTGAAACAAGTATTTCGAAAATGCCCATCCGTACTCACCAACCGAGTTTTGAGTATTCCTCGTCAAAATACTCACCAAGAGTACGATGTTTAGTGTTTCGAAGTAGTACTTTACTAAGCAGGCCCGCTATTCGGGTCATCCCGCCAAACAGGCAACCGCTAAACCAGGACCACGACTGTGTGCCCTATCCTGCCCTTCTAGTTGCTGCCCGCGAAAAAGAATCAACTTGGTTCGACGTTCAATCTCTTGTTTCATCACCATCGTATAACGACAGTGGTCCGTAGTCTACAAGTCGCTACACAGTTTGGAGTAGGATCCACGGCGGACGTGATTTCATTAGTCGTTCTCTCTTAGTTATCGCGAAAGGCCCAGCCCCACTGCAACTACTGTACAGAACGTTTTTTTTTTTTCTGGCGGGCCAACTGCAGTGTACTCCGTACCTTCCATTTCGTGCTGCTGCGAAACTCCGTTTCACTCACGGCTGTTGAGGTGGGTAGGACATGAGAGTTGAGAGATGTTGGTGTTTTTGTGGGTGGCGTCACATCCCGTTTCCTTGTGGCATTATGTACCTCTACCAACTGGGGTACAGAATTTTACTGACCCGCGGACAAATAAAGTCCTCCTGCATCGGCCCGACGCACGACGCCGAAGGTTGTTCTCTGAAAGTAGGCATAGTCTACAATGAAACACCGCCCATGTTTCTGCTGTCCATGCCGACAAAGGGCCACGCACTACCGTGCTGCGACCGAAGGATGCAAGTGGCCAACTCGAAACGCTTCGAAATGGTGCTCGATCTTGTTTTATTTCTATATTTTGACCACCCAAACGGGGGCCGAGCTTTTCTGAGCCAATTGTTGGCATGTTGAGGTCGAAAGGTAGGGGAAATCGTCGAATAGAAACTTGTGTGAGGGGTTGAAATCGACCCATCGACCAGCCGAAAAAACGGTAGAAACGGAATGATGCACCTATATCTTGACACGGGCTGTATGAAGCGTCCGCGGCGACAGAGTTTCGCAACGCGATGCCACAGTACAACCCTATTCGGCGCAAACAAGACACGCGCATTTTGAATGCAATATCACACTCCTTCGCAAAATGGTACGTCGATTTATACGGGTCAACCTGAGCCCAATACGTAACTCTATCACTCTCAGATCACAAACAGGGCGAGGTAAGATAGCACACCCTCCACACAGTTACATGCCCCATGGTTTTCCGTGGCAGTGTTAAGTTATCACCGGGTTAGATTTATTGTGTCGAAAACGGTTCTGCGATTCAGTCCCGGGTGAGATTCTGCTCTTCGAAAATTCCAGATGAGAGACGCGAAAATTTTCTAAATTCACGAAGAGCCTAGCGACTTAATCTACAATTCTACCCCAAAACAAAATTTCTACAGCGCCCCCATTCGTGCGTGGGTGGTGCCCCACCCCTCTAACCTGAAAAAGACCCCTCGGGTTACGTGGTCAATACCGCTACTTCTGCTGCTTTCTCTGGAAATCGGCCGTCAAGAGCAGGGATGGTCTGTTCTTGCCCCTCCCACCTCACTTGTCAGTATCGGATTCCCACCTCTTGGTAGCGATGTGTCACTGTGAGTGTGCGATGTCTTTTCCTCCCCTGCGAGCTTATGACAACGCAACAGGTTTTGTGCACTGTTGTGCACACAGCAAGCACCACACACGAGAACGTGGTATTCCAATAACGCACCCGTTGTTGTTGTTGTCTTCGTCGCCCACGGCCTTGCTTTTGCGTCGCTCACAGGCAGCGAAAGTTCACCAAAGGGATGAAACAGCTGGGGTACCGCGGCGGGTGGAAAGCCGTGCGAGGTGCGGACCCCTGTCAACAAAGAAAAATAACAGTGCCTTCGTTTGAGTTCTCCGCGATCAGGTTGCGGCGATGGATAGGGTTCGCTGTCTCAGTTCGGGCGCTCCTTTCCGTGAATTTGTGAAGCCAAAATTCGTGGAAACTATCCACGTCGTGTCCGTTGGCCTGCCTGCCTGTTTGTCGGCCTGTCCATGCTTGTTTTCCTGTCGAGCTGATTTTGCCATGTCGAGCTGATTCTGCCATGTCGAGCTGATTCTGCCATGTCGAGCTGATTCTGCCATATCTACGGTACGGGAGGACCACCCGGTGTGACCGTGTCCGCTCAACGAAGGACCAGCACCCGGTGTTCGCTAAGAAGTGATGGTGCTGTTTGCGACCCGCTATTTTTCCTCAAGTCCATCCTATCCTGTCGTGCTGTCTTCCCCGAACACCCCGACGGTTCCCGACGTTGTTTCCGCCCGACCCCGCCGCTCGCTCCCCGCGGGCATCACTCACATACACCCAAACCGGAAACGACATAACCCAGGGCTGATTGCCGAAGCCGGGCGAGTGGGGCTTCCCCTTAACGTGATCTGCCTCAACGCGGCCATGTCGGTGCTGGCTAGAAGCGGTCGGTGGTACGAGGCCCTGGACCTGCTCTCCATGATGAGGAGGGGGGCGCTGCTGGTTGACGTGGACGGCGGCGGCGACGGCAGTGGCGCGGACCAGGGAACGGGATTCCGGGAGCCCCGGGTGGAAGGGGAGGAGGCGTCTTCTTCGACGATGCTGGTGCTGCCGGAACCTGACACCATTACTTTCAACACCGCCATCACCGGTGGGTATGGCACCGGCGGCGGCGGCGGCGGCGGCGGGATGACGAGTTAGTTTTGCAATGCGTCGTGCGTGAATGTGTGCATCCGACGTGCACAAATCGACGTCTCGTGTGTGAGTGTGTGCATCCCTTATGTGCGTCGATTTCCCGGTGTGTTTTGAGAAATCGATTAACCTTCCGTCCCCGCGCCCTAGCTTTGTTTTGTCGGTTGTGCTTTTCAACATCTTCGGAGATGTGCCCGTGCTCTCGCCGCTTTTTCGTTTCTTGTTTTTTGGCGCTCTCTCTCTCTCGCCGGTGCTGTCTTGTTCTGCCCTCAGCGTGCGGCAGAGGAAAGAAGTGGAAGCCGGCCGTCGAGCTGCTGGACAGCATGCGGCGAGAAGGCCTGGTGCCCGATGGGGTGAGGGAACTGAACCTGCTAGGAACAAACAGCTGTGGGGGGGGGGGGTTCCGTGTGGATGTGTATCTCTGCCAGGTCCTTGCAGCCAATAGCCGTAGCAATTAGCTGTGTCCACCCCGCGCCCCCAACGGCGAGAGTCGTAGGCTTGACTTCTGTCACACGGTCGAGCAGAAAACCACCACCCCCGCCACTGCCATTTTCTTTTTTTGTGGTAACCATCAATGGTGATCGAGCAGATTATGTTGTGCGGGGTCGAGAACCCTGACTCCGCGCAAGGGGGATGATTGCACCACCACGTTGTGTTAAAATGGCCAAGCACCCTCGAGGCAGTTACACAGTGCTTACAACTGTCTCTGGGAAGTGAAAGCACCAGAAAATATGTTAAGTCATACGCAGCTGTCATCCGTACGCAAGGAAGTATGCACAAGATGCCGAACACCCTTAGCAGGATGCAGCGCACNACTGCCGCGGCTAGCGAGCACCCTCGGCGGGGGAACCTCGGCTGTGTGCCAAACATGACTTGGTCGGCGGAGTGCCCCTCGTAATGCAGGAACCGTGCGCTAGATTGTTCGCGGGAATGGTTTGTTGGTATTGACGTTGCCGTGGATCGACACCCCAAGGCTGTTCGCTCAACTGCAACGACAGCGACGCCGTTCTTGCGGGAGCTTTACCAGCGTTGGACTGGAATCCGTTCAGTAGTCTGCTCAGTTTTTTTTTAAGCAAGAAAGTATGCTGGGTGAAGTATTGAATCGACCAAGATGTGGTGGTTATGGTCTGCGTGCCCCCCCGGCCCGGTCTTTTCGTGGTGATCTTCCTCTACGCTTTGCCTAGGCGGTCCAATCAGTTTGCCACACCGTGCGCCACATGATGCACCGCCACCGCCACCGGCGGCCATAAGCTAAGTCGGTCCGCCACACTCTATTGACGCGGTGTGGTCGAAGTTGGCAATCAAGGGACGACGAGCGACACTCGCGAAACACACGCCCGCCGCCCGCGTGCTGAGGGGGGTGTGTGTGTGTACCCATAGTCGTGCATGCCGTAGTCGTTAGACCATTGACCTCGCATCCCTACAAAGCCGGGACGGAGCACGCCGGGTTCTCACCGGACCAGGCTCTCACATCACCAAGCGCGAAGCGCCGTGAGATATTCGGCGAGTCGCATGAAGGGTGCGCTGCATCCTGCTAAGGGTGTTCGGCATCTTGTGCTTACTTCCTTGCGTACGGATGACAGCTGCGTATGAATTAATTTATTTTCTGGTGCTTTCACTTCCAGAGACAGTTGTAAGCACTGTGTAACTGCCTCGAGGGTGCTTGACCATTTTAACACAACGTGGTGCGATCATCCCCCTTGCGCGGAGTGAGGGTTCACCCCGCACAACATGATCTACTCAACCATCATTATGGTTACCGCCCAAAAAAAATAAAACGGAGTTGAAAAAAAAACGGTAACCTGGTTGCCCGAGTTCACGAAGTGAATTGGCTTGTTTTACAACGTCGTTGGCAAGCGACGAAAACCCACTCCCGATGGCAAAAACCGGGGTAGGGGGGGGGGTGTACTCATAGTCGTGCATGCCGTAGTCGTTAGACCATTGACCTCGCATCCCTACAAAGCCGGGACGGAGCACGCCGGGTTCTCACCGGACCAGGCTCTCACATCACCAAGCGCGAAGCGCCGTGAGATATTCGGCGAGTCGCATGAAGGGTGCGCTGCATCCTGCTAAGGGTGTTCGGCATCTTGTGCTTACTTCCTTGCGTACGGATGACAGCTGCGTATGAATTAATTTATTTTCTGGTGCTTTCACTTCCAGAGACAGTTGTAAGCACTGTGTAACTGCCTCGAGGGTGCTTGACCATTTTAACACAACGTGGTGCGATCATCCCCCTTGCGCGGAGCGAGGGTTCTCCACCCCGCACAACATGATCTACTCGACCACCATTATGGTTACCGCCAAAAAAAAAAACGAGGGAAAAAAAAAAAAACGGTAACCTGGTTGCCGAGTTCACGAAGTGAATTGGCTTGTTTTACAACGTCGTTGCCAAGCGACGAAAACCCAATCCCGATGGCAAACACCGGGGGGGGCGGCTTGTTTTACAACGTCGTTGCCAAGCGACGAAAACCCAACCCCGATGGCAAACACCGGGGGGAACGGCTTGTTTTACAACGTCGTTGCCAAGCGACGAAAACCCAACCCCGATGGCAAACACCGAGGGGGGGAGGGGGGGGCATTTCTGGGAATCCTCTTTGGCTAGCGTTCGTCGGGTCACCCGCCGTCTCGCCGAAATAGCGTCGTGGTGCTCAGGCCGCCGCAAGGTTGCGGCCCCGAACACAAAATATGCAGGAAAAAGCCCGCTCACGACGCCCGAACAGAGAGCAGCAACAGCCCGACTGCTGGAAAAGTGTCTGCATTGTACATTGCGGTAGGAGCAGGCGGCGCTGGGTCTCGCCAGAGATGTGTGTGGTCAACAACTTGAGTATCCTTCCGTGGTGCTTGACATGTTCAGTGTTCGTCTCGCACGAGAGGCGTCATCAACGGTGATCGGATGGCTTTTGTAAGGGCGGAGAATGAGCGCCCCCCCCCCGGTCCGTCCTCTCGAGAGGACGCGTGGGAAATGGTCTGTAACCGCCAAGGTATGCAAGACCTTAGAGTGTAAGCCGTTCGTTTTTTGCTTATTGTCCGCATGAATGATGTCCAGTTTTCGTACTCCGCCGCTATCACGGCCTGCAAGAACTGCGGCCAGTGGGAGACAGCGCTGGGCCTCCTGGACGACATGAGGATGAGGGGGCTCGGCAGGGATAGGCACTCGCTCAACGCCGCAATAGCCGCCTGCGCTTCCGCCGGAAGGTGTGTGTGTGTGTGTGTGTGTGTGTGTGTGTGTGTGTGTGTGTGTGTGT